CATCTCATATATATATATATATATATATATATATATATATATATATATATATATATATATATATATATATTGCGTGCGCTAATTATTCGTAGATGCCTGCAAATGTCAGCATACATTGGAAAATCGCATTTTTTGAGAAATATCAAAAGAAAGAGCCTGATTGGTTGCCGCAAAACTCTGGCCAGGGCCGGGATATAAGAGCTGACCGATGAGAAATGCAATGATATTGAGAAATAGTGTTTGATTCGACTTATGCGTCCGTACGTGTGAGGGCTTAATCGATGAGGCGAGCCAACCAGCTTAATGCCAGTGTGATAGAACTACTGGTATAGGATGGATAAAAAGGAGACAGTGGAGTGTCGGCAGAGACACATGCAGAATCCAGTCGTTTTCAAAGATAAAAGAAAAGACAGAAAGCGTCTTAAAAAGATACATCTGAGAGACATTTGCTAAAACCAAATTACCAGAAGAAAATGAAGTCGCTAAAAATTATCAAGTCAAAGGTTAGAGATGATCAAACGACCATAGAAGAATGCCACCTTTTAGATACTTCTCGCAGCATCGGGACGACCTAACGTATGCGAATGTGAGGCATAAAGAGATCAAGGTCAGACTCGAGATCAATTGAAAAAAGCCCTACCCAAAGGCTCACAAGAGGGAAGGGTAGGTTCTTGAGAAAGATAGGCTGAACGAGATTTGATTCTATCGGCCTGTGGCTCAATAAAATGCCTGGTTGGAAGGCATGAGTCATGCGAGTTGGGTGATAAAGAAATTGAGTTAAAAGCTTTGTTCGTGGGCTGATAATCTCATCCGCTCCTCTGAAAGCCCTCGAAGTACATGAGGGATTATATCCGACAATGATGTTATTGCAGACAAGGGCATATATGAGTAGGAAGGCGAGAGGGAAAATAATGTGGGTATCTGAACGATTGTAATTGAACCTCTGAAGGTGAGGCAAACGTGGATATGTTGTCATTACATGGGAGTAGATGCCAACAAGGCGAGTACGGCACAAATGGGATTATGCTATCAGCTCATGAGACGGGCCTCTGGCGTGAGTGTAGCCGAGGCCAAAAGGCCTGTACCTGAAGGAACTGAAGGTGTGGAGTTCGCACTACTGCTACTGCTACCATTTCCTCCACTCAAGCTGCTGATAGCCGACGAGGGCTGCAGCGAGGAAGAAAATGAGGTGGAAGAGGAAGATGATATGGAGGAGGAAGACGATATGGAAGATGAGGAAGAGGGGTTAGATGAAGAGGATAATGTTAAGGAAGGAGTGGGAAGGGCTGTACCATGTTCGATATCACGTACCTTACTGTCGCTAGTTTCATTGGGTAAGGGAGAGATTGCAGGAGAAAC